GAAGGGGGGGACACGATTTTAATCGGCTGAGGCAAAGAAACAGTATGATTTTATATTTTCTCTTAAGCCATACAATCATTTTGCCAAGGGTCTAGTTGTATAAAGGGCTGTTGCTATCAGGCACCAGTTACGGGATTTCTGTTTACCAACCGAAATTACACGCGAAGACGATGTGAACATCTGGCAAACATTCACACTACTTACCCCACCACCCACAACATGTTAAAAAGATTTATGCATCTGATGAAGTCTCTCAAAGGTATGTACCCTTGCAGAACCACAGAGTCCCCTTATCAGCACACCCAGAAGGGTGCAGACATTTGGGTATACACAAATCACGTACATATGCTGTAGAGGCCCACTTACAAATAATACTGGCACTTTGCATCTTCCTAAAACTTAATAAAAAAAAAAAGAGGCAGCAAAAAAACTGTGCGATGGTAGGATGGATGGAGGAAATGCAAAGCCAAACATCACTGATAAATACGGCATGTTTGGCAGCTCAGAATTAAAAATAATAAGAAAAAGTACTGTAAGGAAGCAGCTGAAACAGTCCAGCAAGGCAAACCCATAAAGCCTTCTCCCAGCTCTGTTCTGCTTTGGTTTTATTGATTTGACAACTACACTAAATTATCCAGGCAGGAACACGCACAATTCCTGCAACTTTCCGAAGGAAGATCCCCTCACTGCCTCGGGTCTGGCCAGGGAGAAAGTGCGTGATTTCCTCCTCCTAACAGCTACTCTGCCCCTGCAAGAACATAAGAAAATTAGTAAGATCAGCCCAGCAACAAGCCTTTTCGGTAAGCGGGAGCTTTATGCAAGCTGGGGAGGCAGGGAGGATGTAAGCCGAGGTTTGGGGGGTACGTTTATCCTTCTGGAAGTTCTTATTAAGCGAGTTTTGGGGCTCTGCGGTGCGTTTTTCCAGGAACAATGTATTCGAGCAATCTGCTCCAGCTCGGGGCATGAATGCCAGGGGGAAGGACACCACACCTAGCAGCTCTGCAGCCCAGAAGAAATTTCAAGTGTTCCCCAGGCAATTCAGGACAACTTTTTTTCTTTACTATTCCTTCAACTGTGCCTTCAATTTGTGGATTATTATTTTTTCCCCTCTCAACTTTTGCTAGCGCCTTTGAAGGTGTGCATTAGGTTTGTGCTCGTTGAAGCCGGGGGCAATTCGGTTACCGGCTTTTACAGCCTTTTCTTTCTTTTTTAAATACTTCTGCAATTAAGAAGGAGGAAAAAAAAAAAGGAAAAGCTTCTATGTGCATTCTCTAAGCGCAAAAACACGGCCTTAAAAATAACAGCGCTACAGGGCCCTAAAAAAATAACATTATTAACGCCCCTAAAAAAATGGAGCAGCACTTTGTGCTTCTTTCGGAAGAGTCCAAAGCAGAGCCCCCCGCACGCCCAGCCTGCTCCAACAACCATCTCCCTCCGGAATTAACGCCCACCCCAAAAAGGCTGGGAAAAGCCAGGCCGCCTGCCCGGCCGAGCCCGAGTTTGGGACCCCCGGTGGGGAAGGGACCGGGGAGAGGCG